GCTGGTAAAAGACTTCGTGGCTCCAACTGACTCCAAAATACTCAGAGGAGGGGAACGGGGCAATTGTTGAGAAAGGGTGCAGGGATGGTCCACCTATCTAAAGGTAGTCTATCATCAAGTCCCTTCAGAATTGTCATGTCTATTCTTGTATGTCTTACCAAGTCTTTGAACTAATTTCCATTGGTTAAAAATTTATTTAAATGCAGTGAGCCCAGTGCAGGGATGATAACGCTCATGATTTCTTAAGCCTAGGTTTCCCCACAACACATAGAAGGAAGGGCCTTAAACACAGACTCTGTTTGAAGTCAGCTCACTTACCTTTTCATCTTCTAATGCTACCAAGGGCTTGCTGATGCTGTTGACAAATGTGTTGATGTGCTCAAAGTGCTTTGTCATTTCTGTGGCTAAGACCATGTCGATGATACCCTGGTGTAGCATCTGGTAGTTGTTCCTGTTTCAGATGAAAAAGGAGAGACTGCTGCTGATTACTGATCCAGACCAGACAGGTGCTCCTGAAAACCAGCTGTGATCTAGGACCTGTGTCCACTGCGGCTGAGAGTCTAACCAACTGGACAGCAGTGGCCTGCTCAGTCGCTCAGTCGTATCCGACTCTTTGTGACCCCACAGACTGTAGCCCGCCAGGCTCCTCCGTCCATGGGATTCTCCAGGCAAGAAAACTGGGGTGGGTTGCCATTCCCTTCTCCAAGACAGCAGTGGCAGGGCATGCTTTAAAGAATGCGGAGGTTAAAGGTTGCTGCCTAGACTGCTGTTAGCAAGGGGAACCTGAACAGAAGTTAAAATTGGAAGTTTAGGGGCAAGACTATAGATAGAGGGTTCATAGTGTTGTCATAAGCGAAAGGCATATAGTTCTCAAGATAAAAAGAGATGGAACTAAGCCAGCTGGGGTTATGAAGAAGGTACCCCAACAGAGGAACCTTGAGACCCAAAAATTTTGGTTCCCAGAAACACAGAAGGGGGAACTTCTGAAAGCTGAGAGAATCAATGGGGCGTACCTGATGCCTCTTCCTCTAGTCCTTTATATTTATTTAAAACATTTTTTGAGGATGGAAACCACATAATTAAAAATTCTAAAGGTACAAAGAGTATAAACTGAATTCTATGCACTACAGCTGTTCTTTCCCCTGGAGACAGTCATAGTTGTCAGGGTCTTGTGCATTTTTCCAGAGATAACTTATGTATATATAAGCAACTATGAATAAAACCAACTTTAAGTCCACATATGAAATTTTAAACGCAAAAAAAGGAGGTTTTTTTTTTAAAAATTCCTTAGGTTTTAATAACTTAAAAACCCAAATTAGCAAGTATCCCTCATGAGAGGTCACGTCTGTCTAACAGCCCCGCACTGGACAATAACTGCACCGTGATGAAGAGAAGCGCGGGGCTGTGAGGGAGGCGGCCGCCGGCTCGCAGGTCGGGAAGGGCATGCCCTGAGGGGCGGCCGCCCTTCCCGCCGCTCGCCGCACCCCACCCCCCGCCCACGAGGCGATGACGCGGCTCTCGCAGGAGCCCCGAGGCCCCGGTTGGCCGGGAGCTGCCGGGAGCGCGGCTGCCCGCCTTCGTGTGCGCGGCGCCGCCGCTCGCGCCCGGCGGACCGAGCCTCCCACCCGGCCAGAGGACGGCCGCCTCGGCCCGCAGAGTCTGAGCCTCGCGGAGGCCGCGGCAGCGGCAAGAAGAGAAGGGGCTCCGGGCGGGCGGCTCAGGGGCTGCGGTCCGCGGTGAAACTCGGGCCCCGCGGGGCAGCAGCCTTCCCGCGGGGCCGGGCGGGGCTCCGTCCCCGGCCGCGGTGCCCTCTCGGCCGGCTTTGACGGACGCCCGCGGACCGTCCTGGCCGGGGCGGCGCCGGGAGGAGGACCGACCCCGGTCCCTGGGGGCCCCGCTTAGCCGAGTTGTGAGGAGGACGCTCCCCGAACCGCGGCGTCGGTTCCCGGCGCACGTCTTTTGCGCCGTCTGGGGCGAGGAACCGCCGTGAACTTGACCGAGGCGCTTGAATCCATTCCCTACCGGACACCACCCACCCCCCCAAACCCAGCCCCCCAGGATATTCTGGCGCGACCCTGAACGTTCAGTTAGTGTGAACGTTGTTCTGGTTCTCGTGGTGGAAAGGGAAGGGCGGCCAGCCTGTGAAGCCGGGGTACTGTATCAGCCCTGCTTCATTGCACATGTATTTGAAATTCCCGTTGTTAGCACGCATGTTTTTACTTAAAGCCCATGTAATCAGAAAATCAATCCTAAAGGAAATCAGTCCTGAATATTCATTGGAAGGACTGATGCGGAAGCTCCAATACTTTGACCACCTGATGTGAATAACTGATTCACTAGGGAAGATCCTGATGCTAGGAAAGATTGAAGGCAGGAGGAGAAGGGGACAACAGAGGATGAGATAGTTGGATGGCATCACCGACTGGATGAACATGAATTTGAGCAAGCTCCGGGAGTTGGTGATGGACAGGGATGCCTGGTGTGCTGCAGTCCATGGGGTCGCAAGGAGTTGGACATGACAGAGCGACTGAACTGAACTGAACTGAAATGAAATAGAAAACACTATCAGAAACGTGATTTTTAAAGCGTTCAGCAGAATGAAGTTAATTTTTTATCAGCCTTACTGAGACACTTTGTAACTTTTAAAAATTGCCTATCTTCTCCAGCAGGGACGGGCTTCTCTTGTGGCTCAGCTGGTAAAGAATCCTTCTGCAATGTGGGAGACTTGGGTTTCATCCTTGGGTTGAGAAGATCCCCTGGAGAAAGGAACAGCTACCCACTCCAGTATTCTGGCCTAGAGAATTCCATGGACTGTATAGTCATGGGGTCACCATGTGTAACCAGGATCTAAGCGTTGCCTCAGGGCATTTTAAGAATTCACAGACTCCCAAGCGAGCAAACACTTTGAGACCAAGGCAAATCAAAGGCCTATAGTGAAAAACATCCACAGCATTAAATCAAAGTAGAGAAACAGATAAAGTGTCTGATCTGTTCAGATCCAACAAACAAACCTGAGCCAGACTTCTTCACAGAGCAATCGGGGCAGAAAAGTGGAGCCTCTGAGGGTGGCCTGCAGGGGGTGCTCTGTCGCCCTCTTGGGAATTAGTTGGGAATAGTTATCCACTCCCCAGAGCCGGAGTGTGGTCCTGCTTCTCAGGAGGCCTCACCCTTCCCAGGCCAGACTGCACCCAACACCCTGCACCCTCATCCCTGCTGTGAAGCACTGGGTCCCAGCACAGCTCACCTTGATCCTTTCTTTGCACAGAAAGTAGGCAGTGGCATGCAGCACATCAGCAGAGCGTGTGGAGTTGTGGTAGGGGTTGGAAGCGTGATAATTGGCTTCGATCATCTGTAACCAGGATCTCAGTGTTAAGTAAAAGGCCTATAGAGAAAAACATCCACAGCATTAAAATAGCAGAGAAACTGGTAGTGTCTGATCTGTTCAGATCCAACAAGCAAACCTGAGCCAGACTTCAGGGAGCGAGCCGGGCAGCAAAGTGGGGCCTGTGAGGGTGGCCTGCAGCGGGTGCTCTGTCATCCTCTCTCCTGGTGGCCAGCACCAGCCCTGGGCAGAGCCCAGCTGCAATTCTTGGGGCACCCGCCTGGTGCTCCCCACTGCCCTAGCTGCTGCAGAGTCCTCCCGGCACCAGGAGGGTTTCCAGGTCAACGTGCTGCCAGGCTAACCCCATCCTCCCCTGTGGCCTTGCTGGACGTGTGTCACTGGCCAGACGTCTTGCTGGAAGCAGATACCAGTTCCCCACGGCAGCACACCAGCCAGACGCTGGCACACATCACGTGATGGTCTCAACACTCTGGAGGTGGGGGTTTCCCCAGACAGGTGACCAGATGATGCCAAATGAGGCCCGTCCTTGAGAGTCACCGTCACCCAGCCTCTGGCCTTTGCTCTTGGCTCTGTTGAGGCAGTGTCCAAACCGGCTGGGCTCCCAGGACTTGGACAGACCTGCCCCGTCCCAGCTCACATTAGGACGTAAGCCAGTGCCCACAGCTTTGTCTGCCACTGGCACTGGCCCTGTGGGGCACGCGGATGCAGAATGTCTCAGAAGCTTGACTTGCGCTGAGTGTGAGCAAAGGGCGGGGCTGTCANCAGTTTTCAAAATCTTCAAATTTTATTTAAATCAACTACTTGTAGAGCCCTTAAGTAAAAATGGAGACCCAACGCAGCAAAGCTGGCTGTCCTGAACACGCCCCTCCCTCTGTTCCAAGCGGAGGTCCCGCCGTACCCCCCACCCCACCCCCGGACAGGCCGCAGGTGGGTGACGGCTCAGCCGGAGGGCAGCTGAGCCTGGGCAATGGATGATCTAGGCCTTGGCTGACCCCGCACACAAAGAGCGCTGTGTGGGGCAGGATGTCAACAAGCAGCCTCAGAAAACAGGCGAGAGCAGCGGGACTGAGGCGGCAGCCTGTCAGCACACTCACAGACACCAGGCCCCCGACGAGGTCATTGGCGTGAGGATCATCGTCCTTAGCACCGAACTGGGGTGAATATAATTCAGTGGTTCTTAGAATTTCCAGCACACGGTCTAAGGCTTCTGTCACAGGCATGGGACTGCTTTCCTGGGCAGCATTGATGATATTGATGACCTACAATAATACGGAAAGAAAAGTCCTGACTCTCATCACCTTAAAGGCAATGAGAGAGCAATCCAAAGAGTGGGGCTGGCAGTGGGGCTCATTGTTAACTTAAGACAGTCAGAGTGCTCCTGTCGCCCTCCTCTCTCCGCAGAGGCAGCAGCTCCGCACAACTAGGGGAGCCTCATCACTGTTGTGGGTCGCCGTGTCACCTTGGTGATAGGTGCCTCGATCGTCATGGAATGAATCCGGGCCATGGAAGGGTGTCGTCTCTGGCTGGAAACTGTGGAGAGACCAGGTGGTGCAGGGATCAGGGAGAGGGTGGCCTCAGTCACTGTCTCCCACCCTCCTCCAGGCCCGAGTGAAGGGGCAGGACCAGAGCTACCCGGAAGCTTAGCTCCCTCCCCATCCTACCAAGCCCGGGATTCTGGCAGACCAACTCTGCCTCCTTTGGTTCAAGGCACTGGGAGGCATGTGACCCCCTAGACTGAACCTCTGAGGTCACAGGCCAGCGAGAGGACAGAGGAAGCCATCTAGCAAGTCGAGGCCACACATTAGCCTCTCTGTGTCTGTAACAATGACGTTTTATAACTCAGCTTGCTGCTACCCAGGAGAGAAGCGTTCTGAAAGACAATGCCACATAGGCCCTTTGTTTCATATGTGGCGGGAACAATAAATACAACTCAATTAACTGTAATCCGTGAGTATTTCTGGTTCAGTTTTTCAAGGCATCCTTTGGTGCTTTCCACTGTTCTGCTTGAGGTAGTTACCTAATCCATCTAGATCAGCTGAGGTAGGTGGCAGGTCTCACGCTCTACTGTTGCTAGTTTTTTGTTGCTCCTGTCAAGACCCTGTTCCCCTAGGTGGGGAGAAGCCTGGGCGGTGAACGGGCAGGAAAAGACACTCACATAAAATATTGTAAATTCCTCCTAGAATGACCCAAGTCCTGAAACTATGAAAATCCCTCAAGCCTCCATAGGCCCTTGCATGCCTAGGGCATTTCACCCCTTCTTGACCTTCCAGAGGCCCACAGGACCCAGAGATGACCCAGGTGGAAAATGGATTGCCTGGGCAGCCTAGCTCAAGTCTCCTGTCTGTCCTCTTTCACAAGGTCAGTTCTGAAATCTACGCTGGGGGCGTGGCGACCCCCATGCAAACGCTCATGGGAAGGTCTCATCTTCAGACCCTCTTCACTTATTCACTGTTCCTTCCATTTTTCAGCTGTTCCCCTTGATAATCCAGTTCCTACACAGTTAGCCGCCCCACCCCCCCCAGCCCCAAAGAGGAAAGGACATAAAAAGATAGAAGGTCAGAACAGAGAGCCCACACGGAGCCGACTCCCTGAGGCAGTCGCCAGCTGGCAACCAGGCCTGGTAACCAACACATGAACCTCCTGGATAACGTGGGGGTCTGCAGCCTCGCTTCCCCGAGCCCACCTCTCTCAGCCTCAGCTTCCTCATCTGTCAACCAGAGACGGTCACAGTCCGCCGTCGCGCCGCCGTTGCAAGGCTGTGGGGAGGAGGAGGTGAAGGGACGCCCAGCAGGCCCCGAGCCCCTGCCCAGGGAGGGAAGGGCTCCCAGACGGCAGCGTGGTTACAACACTGTCACCACACCTCTTCCTCCTCGTCGTCTTCATGACCAAGAACATACACTAGGTATGATTTTACCCCTTGAATCTGTATTCATCATAAACATTTTCCCCTGTGATTTAATTCTCTATGATCATCACTTCTATGGTGGCGTGTTTTATTGTTGTGCTGTGTGCTTAGTCACTCAGTCGTTTCCGACTCTTGGTGACCCCATGGACTATAGCCCTCCAGGCTCCTCTGTCCATGGGATTCTCCAGGCAGGAATACTGGAGTGGGTTGCCATGCCCTCCACCAGAAGATCTTCCCAACCAGGAATCAACCTTCCCAACCCAGGTCTCCCGCATTTACCATCTGAGCCACCAGGGAAAGGGATTCTGCTGGGCCAAATTCTGAAACTCATCAGGACAAGGAACTCCTTTCTGTGTCTGTTCCATTTTCTTCCTTCCTGGAATAAGAATGTCTATAACTATTATCATATGTGTTATATGAATTTGGAGTTGGGTAATGCCCCTACTAGTCCTTGTTATCCCATATTGATGCTGCTTATGATTGCTCCATGTATTATCAATTGTCTAATCTGTTTTGTCTCTTTCCAGGTCAACAAGCTACAACATGCAGTGCCAGTTCAACAAATATATAAAACTACAGCCGACTACGGAGAATCTCACTCACCATTAGATGGACACCGCTATAAGGACTCTGAGGCTTGAGACTAGCAAGAGGGGGAGGCCCAATACCCCTCGCCATCCAAGTTCAGCAGGAAGTAGCCTGAAAGACCTCGATGCCCCTGTTCCCAAAGAATTGGGAATTTCCAGTCTCTTGAGGGGGGAATGTTAGGTAGCTAGAATAGGGAAAAGGAGTCCAAAATGGTGGAGGCTAAGAGATAAGGAAGGGAAAAGCCCGTGAAAATAGAACAAAGGAAGGTCCGAGGGCCGGAATGAGGACCTCAGGTAGAACAAACAACACTCCTGGCTAGCCCAATTTACATAGGGCAGGCCCAGGGGGAGAAAAAAAAACATATATAAGAGGAGCCAAAGGGCTCTCTCTCTCCCACGCACTGGGGCGCTCTTCTCTTCGCGTCTTTGGGTTGACATGCCCTCACGCCTCGAGGATGGATTTTCCTGCTATTTTCTAAATAAAATAGAGCTGTCATACGGAGCTGTAACACTGATTTGTCTAAGAGCTATAACACGGTCCGTTCGAGACCTGAGAGCTATAACATGGTCTGTCCAAGACCCGAGAGCTGTGACACGCCGAGGGCTTTAATGCCCGTCACTCCAAATCTTTGCTGTGACGAGACAGAACAGAGGAGCATACACTTGCCTGACAATATGCCTATCCCATCGCTACACTTTGGAAGCAAGAGCCCTATTGATGTCATGCTTCACTGATTCACAGATGCAAAGGAATTTTGCCCTAAGGTTTTGACCTGTTGCTGATTTAGATGATCTAGATTTTATTGGTGAGTGTTCTGCAATTCACTCATAATTTTCCACTGTATTATTTAACATAGATTCCGAGACAAACTATGACACTTTTAGTCTCCTGATATACACTGCCTTCCAATCTGTGGTCACCCCTGTTTCATAACAAGTTTCTATAAATGACAGCATTTAAAATATTTTGTCTAATTTGATAGTTCTGTGCAGAAATGATACAGAGGCTGACAAACCAGATGTGCGTGTGTGCTCAGTCATGTCTGACTCTTTTGAGACCCCGTGACCCGTAGTTCTCCAGGCTCTTCTGTGTGTGGGATTTTCCAGGCAAGAATACTGGAGTGGGCCGTTGATCTCTCGCAGTCTTGCCAAGTGAGCTGCAGGGACACAGCTCTCCTGTCTCAGGGAACAGCCTTGACTCTGCTCCTCCGCCTCCAACCGGGGACACGGTGTCCCGCCCAAATGCTCATTACCCCATCCAGCCACACCTACTCTAACCACTCAGACTGCAGCATCTCCTCGCTCTGAGCTCCAAGGAGATCGGTGTCCAAACAGCGGGCTGAGAAGCTGCGCTGTGACCTCCTGCAGTTCCCTCCTTCGTCTCCCTTTCTGCCACTCAGCAAGCATTCGCTGAGCGCCTGGGGCAGGTCAGGCTCTAAGGCAGGCACCAGGGATGTGAAGACGACTGAGGCTGCTGCCTCCAGATGGAGACCCTCATTTCCCCCCAACACCGAAGGACCCTCCACAATCCCACCTCCTGGAATCCCACACTGATCTTTTGTACCAGTTGGAACGTTGTCCCGCTCTTTGCAGAACACACTGCACTCTCCCTCTTTAGTCACTGTTCTTACATCTGGATCGCTTTTCCTCTGCATCCGTCTCCTCACTCCAGTCCACCTCTCCCTGTCTGGAGCTTGCCTCGCTCCCCTGCCTTCCTCCCCAGTAACGGTCATTCTTGATCACTTGCTGTGTGCCCCTGCTGTCCATATGTCCCTCCTCTTTTCAGGTTAAAGCCTGATCACTCCCAGTGCCCAGGGGAACTGTCCCAGCACATGCCTCAGACTCCTGGAGCTGGCCATCTGGGCTTGAGTGCCAGCTGACCACTTCCTAGCTGGATGTCCCGGAGCAAATCATGGGGCTTTTCATCTCCTTGTCTGTAAAAAGGGAGCCTTGTCTGTAAGGTGTCTCCCCCACTTAAGTCCTCCCAAGACAGCCCTGAGGTGAGGCATGTCTGATGGGGTGTCCCCGCTGAAGATGTGGTCCAACACCAACACCACTGCCTCTTCAAGTATCAGGCTGACAGACCACACTCCGCTCAACACAGCTTCACGGACGTGCACGCACTGGAGGTGAGACGTGCCCAGGACACCTGTCAGAATGCCCACCTGTGCTCAGGACCCGGGAGTCGGGGAAAGAGATGCTGCTACAGAGCTAGGAAAACATGGTGCCACCTATGCACCAGGTGAGCTCATCGGAGGTAGGGCCTGTTTTCAGTTTTTCAAAAGCTCAATGAAAAAAAAAAAGCTCAATGAACCCTAAGCATGAATGCAGGGCACCGTACCTGTGTAACTGTCAGTCTGAACACTTTCAGCTATCTTCTCCGCCTAGAAATGAATATCAGAAGCCATTAGTTCTGAGTGCCTAGTGATACAGTAAGGGAAATCTTGCTGGGCCCCCAGGGTCCCCAGGGCTCCCCCTACATACCTTATTGTTGCCACTGCACACTCTGATAATGGACACATAGTGTCTAATTTTTCTGCAAGTAGAAAACAATGCATTATATTCCTCCTGGCCCTCAATTCTGGTGGAGAGCTAGCTAGTTTTTCTAAAAGCATCTCTCTTTCACACCACATACAAGGCTTGGAGAGAGCAGTTCTATTGCTTGTGGCTGAGGCTGCCAATAAACAAACAAGAGTCTGCAGGCAGTCCCTGGTGTCTCTGGAGAAGACAGGTTGACCCTTCAGTGAAAACAACAAAATCCTTCCGAGTCATTGCAACATACAATAAAAAATACCCAGGTTTCAAAAACGTACCCCTAACCCTAACCCTAACCCTAATCCTAACCTCCGCATCAGCCGGCCCTAAGCCTTTAGTTCCGCCACATGTTTTCACGTTCACAACCCTTTATGCTGATGCTCATCTTCAAGTTTCAGCAGACAGTCTGCTCACAACACTTGGGGAAAGAGTCACAGGTCCCTCCAGGGCCAAACGTGTGAGTCTAGAACCAGGCGGCTGGGGTTCTCTCGTGAGCTGCTGACTCCTTACTTATTCACTGTTCCTTCCATTTTTCAGCTTTTCCCCCTGATAATCCAATCCCTACACACCCCAACATAATTTTAGTTTTAACATTATTAGGTGCTTATATTATACCTATTATTACACCCCCCCCCCCTTTTTTTTGGCCACACTGTGCAGCTTATGGGACTTAATTCTCGACCAGGAATCAAACCTGTGCCCTTAGCAGTGAGAGCTACCTTGCTTCTGACCATCCTTTGGGGGATGTTCTTTTGAGTGTGTTAATGCTGCAGAATTACTGTTTTCTTAACCACTGCCTGCAGGTCAGAATCTCAGAGTGGAGCAGCCCTGATTCTCTTCCTCTTTCTGAGGCCTTGATAAAACCTTAAAATAAAACCTTAATTCCTTACCCAGGGAATTCCCTACACTCCATTTTTACAGTTATGCATAATCATGGCGGAGTCATTTAGTACACTATGATTTCCATCCTTGCAAAATGCTTTGTTTTCCCCTTGAGTAAATAATTGACTTTTGTCTGTCTACTTGCTTACTTATATAGGATCCAAAACTTTGAACTATCTTAACCTCTCTTAAGAGGTTGAGACATCCCTAAGGTATTTCTCAAGAGGTGCTGTCACTTTCATTTCTTTCTTAAGTGTCCCTCCGAAAGCCTCTTGACCTGCTCCAGTATGGCTGAGTTGTCCTCTGCACTCAGCTCGGATAGCTGAAGTGAAAATTCCAGGTGGCTCAGCTGCCACGTTTCCAGACTGCAGTCAGTTCCCAGACCCAGAGGCCTTTAGTGAACAGGCAGGCCTGGTGTTCTGAGGAAGAGTCCTGCAACACTGCTGCAAATACAGGCTATCTACATCTTCCTGACTCCTCCCCAGAGGGGCTCTGGAAGGTCACGTGTGCCCTGGGAAAAAGGAAACGCCGAGACCTTTGGAGATGGCTGGACGTTATCTCTGAAGTGATGTGCTTTCCTAGGAAATGTTCAGAAAACCCTTAGGAAGCCAAAGGGCTTCGCTGGTGGCGCAGGTGGTAAAGGATATGCCTTCTGTACAGGAGATGTGAGTTTGATCCCTGGGTCGGGGAGATCCCCAACAATATGGGGATATATCCCAGTGCAGACACAACCGGGCAACCGAACAACAAACAACAAACAAACTACCTCTTCCCCCCAACGCTTCACTTCCCTTTTCACCTCCCAACGCATCCCTACGTTGCCCACAGAACCCTACTGAGGTGCCTAAGAGGCTCCTCTCTCAGGAAAGAGGATTGATTTGGGGACCCCAGCACCAATAGACCTGGAGTCTTGGTTACTTTTTAAAACTCAAGGCCAGAGGGTCGGGCAACCATCCTTTGGTTGAGCTAGGATGTCTGGTCGCAGCCAGAGGAAGCCAGACAGCACAGGTTAAAGAGGGGGCTCAATTCAGGACAGCCAGCACAGCTGTTCAGTCCCACTCCAGGCCAGTCATGGGATCCAAGGCTGCACAGACTCCAGGGATGAGAGAGCAGCCCAAGTCAGGGAGGTGGGAGGAGATTAACTACGCTTTGATTTTCTTTGGTCTCCTTTAATGGTGACGCTATATGGAAATATAGTTGATTTGCCATTTGGTGCCTGTGGTCATTATATAGCCACCTGATTCAGTAATACATATGTTAACATATGTCATATCTGTTCTTTTTTGGATTGTTTTGCCCTAGATGTTATTGCAGAATTTCAAACAAAGTTCCCTGTGGTGAACATCAAGTGTTTGTGCAGTATGTTAGATATACAGATTTCTGTGTAAATGTGGAAGAATGAAAGAAGGAGATAATCCTTGTGGACTACCTATTACAGATACAGCTTATTGGGTATATCTTAGCATCAACCTCCCAATTCATCCCTGGCTTTTTTTTTTTTTTTTTAACTTTGTGTTTTAATTCTCAGAGTCTTTTCTTGTGTTGTAAATTACTTACCCTGTATTTCTTTTTTAAATTTTGCCTAGAAGAGACATCATCTGCTATTTTCTTCACCTGTTGCTGACTTTACTTAAGTGAATGATCCTCCAAATTCCATCCTTGTGGGAACCATTGGCAGAATTTCATAATTTCAGTGGTGGTTTTGCATGTCTCAGTAAAGCCCATTGTATATAAGTACCACATTTCTCTAAGATTTAATCTGTTCATGGATGATTTTTTGGGTCTGTATCTTGACTATTGGAAGTTGCACTG